AAAGGATTGTTTTTGGGAAAAAGAAAATTGGACAACCCCCATATATATACATATTTATGCTATATATACATATCATTGTTCGTCGGTTCAGCGAATGTAGCCGCCGTTGGTTTTCCCAGAAATGCCGAAGCTCCAATGAGGAAGCCAGCGTTCGCATGCGCATGGGCACTACTCCCAGCAATCGGCCAGTCACGGCGAGTCGCTTTTGGAATCTGCAGCGTTGTGCAGAGACTGCCTATCTGCAACAAACATTTTGTCGCCTGCTACCTCATGGCCGTGTCTTAATGTAAACGAGTCAATCACATCTTTCGTCTGGGGTTTCCTGCTCTCGTTGATGCGTTGCAGTTCGGTTGCCGCTTTCAGAATCCGTGGCTCTCAATCGGAGTCATTGTTTTTGCAGTTCCATACAGTAGGAGCATCTTGGAGGTTAAACTGCAGCCTGCTTTGGGCTTGGCAGGTGCGTGAACGGTTGCTGCTTGATCCGCTCCATGTAATTTTGAGGTTGGAGCTGCATTCGTCCCAGCTTACAGCCTGCTAAGACATGCGCATTTCTCTTTTGGCCAGATGCCCGTACTGTTTCTTTTGCAAGTTCTTGCTTGAATCAACTTCCGTTGTTGCCACTTTTTTGTTTCCCCAATTCGGCCATCGGCTAACTGATACAACTACCTCGTTCGGATAAGGGCCATCCCGGCAGCAGCACAACCGCAATTGGATACACAGCAGGCAGTCGCGGCAGTCTGCCATGATGCATGCTGAAGATGCCATGTTCTATGGCTAAGCGGATGGTGCTTTCTGAGCCCTTGCTCATTGATTCACTGTAGAAATTCGCGATTTTGCCGACCGGGATTCTTTCAACAGCTGTCAGACCCAACTTCCTTTGTTGTTTGTCATAGAGAGCATCATCTCAAGAAGTTTGCAGCGTGTTTGCTTCAAGCCTTCTTGACCTGAGTGCCAGATTGAGTTCGGCAAGTCACTAGACTACTAGATGGCCTTGAAAGTGGAGGTGCCACTGCATTACATCAGCTTGGGTTATTGTTCTTCGCATGAGACACTATAGACACTCTTCGGAGTCTGCAAGAAAACCTGAGCAAGTTGATTCCAACAGTTTTCTGCACTCAGCGATGCAGCACAGCGACAAACCTCTCTTGTGGGACCTGCATGAAGATGAGGCCATATGCGGCCCACAAAGCTGCTCGAAGCAACAGAGATGGCCATCAGTAGCCTGGGTCTTGCTAGAAACAAGTTCCATGACATTCCAGCCGAGAAGTGGAGGTGGCTTTCAAGTGTCGATTTGCTGCTGCATGCTAGCAAGCACACAGCCTGCATCCGGTGTGAATCTGGCGCATGATCCAAAGATGCCTGCTAGTGCCACTTCGAATCAAGGTGATGGTGTTGGGACATTCGCCTATTCCGAGCGTGATGTGTTTGGAAGGATCTCGGCCGTTGCCAACTTACCTCCCTCCATGCTAACTTTGTAGACTCTTCTGAGCGTAGTCTTCAATTAGCTTTAGATACTGTTGGTATGGTGTGATGGGCATAGAACGTGTGCTTGTATGGTTTTGGATGCCTTTGACCCAAGTTTCCTGCATTTCATACAACCTTCAATCCAACAAGCATAATCTAACGATTCGATTAGTGCACTTTATAGGGCTGAAGCCAAAGTCTTACAGTAGTTGATCTGCTGTGCAGAAAGCACCGGCCCACTGGTGGCCGCGCCTGAGAGAGGACGGATGGCTTGCGGGTTTCCTGGCAGGTTGTGGCCCATTCTCCGGCACAACTGCCGGAGCTTGTGTCCTTGCTGGACATGTCTGCGTCCACTCACGCCTCTGCCGTGCATGCAGGGATTCCCAGGCAACCACCAGCCTGTCCCCAATAAACCTGGGACTGCAGAGGTACGTGGCCTTGCTGCCTTGGTGTTGGGCACTTGCCTGCTTGAGCTTCCGAGTGAGGCGCTTCTGAAGAGAGCGGATATTGAGAGCCGAGAGGATGCCTTGGAATCGTCAGGAGGGTGCCTTGGTCAGCCAAGCCCGTCTCATGGAAATCCTGGCCAGCCGTGTTGGCCACTTCCACAAGCCATTCTGAGACTTTTTCCGTGCTGAATTTCTGAATGGCATCACATGGCATCACGAAAAGGTGTCGATACTCTCACGCGGGCTGCGGAGGCGGCGACTGCTCCGCCGCTCCGCGGTCCCAGTTTCTGCTGCCTCGCTGTTGGACGGACAGGACTTCCAGAGGGCCTTGAGTGAGAAGGAGCAACAAGTGGATGCCATGAGCCCATGAGCCCAATGTCTGCAATTCAAAGGCCATGAAGTCATTTCCGAGGCACCGCGGCGATATCCTTTGGGTGGCCTCAGTTGAATCTGGAGCTCTGCGGCTTTCAAGCAATCTGCTTCGAGGCTTCGCAACCGCTGCCTCGGTAAGGTTTCAGGAGATGCAGGAAGCCATGGCCGGGCTGCAAGGATGCTGACCGGGTAACCGGGCTAGGCGGCTAGGCTGCCCTCTGTTGAGCTTCTTTAAGGTCCGCATCTGGTTGGAACGAGGTGCGGAGCATGCAGCGGGCGTCGCAGTTGCCAGGAATGCGCTTGGTGTTCACAAGGTACGGCCCCGCCAAAAGCCAGCGCAGGCATGGCAGAGGTCAGCTACACTGCATTCAATTCATGCGGAGCCCTGTGATGGTATGTCACCGTGTTTGTCTTTCGCTCTCATGCTCCTCACCCCATCAGGACGTGGCTGAGCATTTCAAGGATCTCATCAAGATGCAGGACAAAGAGCTGAGGTCTCTGCGGGCCGAGGCCAAATGCACCTTGCCAGTGGCAGCTGATGGTCATGCAAGTTCCATTAAGACAGGTGCAGCAGTTGAAAGGCGAGAACAGCGAGCTGAGGAAATTGACCACGGACGAAGACAAGACGATCCTCCTGTGGAAGGTATGGGGCACGCTTCTAAATCTCCACCTGGTGCCGGATACTCCCAGGTGGGGGCACTGACAAAGCAGTGCAAGGCGCTGCAAGCTCAGCCGCAGCCCCATGCAGCCCCATGGCTTGCGCAGTCCTTCCGGTCCCGGCCCGGCCAAGCAAACCGGAAGGTGCGACCTGCTTCAGGCAAGCCGCGGATCTGTGGAGGCGCAGCTTGTTCAAAACCTTTTTGAAAGATCATGTCCTCTCCTTTGAATCCTTTGAAGGTGGCCAGGCTACGGGAGCGCCAGCTGCAGCGAGCACAGCGTCAGGCCGGCCGTGCAAGGCACTTCAGAAGTCAATTCAAACGTCAACTCAGCTTCTTGTTTGTTTAGCTTGCAGGAGCTGGAGCAGCAGCTCTCAGCTGGGAACTTATGGACCAATCAATTCAAAGGCATAAGTCTGCATAAGGCTTTGCCCAGGTCTGCTAATGTTGAAAGAGATAGCTGCATTTCAGTCTTTGGCGCAATGTGGTTCCTTGCAGGGATGCGTTGAGATAGCAACCTTTTAATAATAGGTCTCTAGGAGGGGTCACTGTGGATCTGTCACATTTCTGGTTTGGTTGCGGGCGTGTTTGGCCCAGACGGACTTTTCTGCTCGGGTCCCAATGCTCCTTACTAGGACTCCTTACGCCCCCTGCACTAGAGAGGAATCTTTGAGTGAGGCCGAAGGCCATTCCGTCGACGTAGTATTTACTGGGCCATACTAGGCCCACAAGCAGGACTGCAGGGCCCCGATGCTGGACTTGTTTTGATTTTGCATACTCCTCGCCCTGGGCATAAGAATTGAGTAGTATTTTATTTGGGGATACTATGGTACGTGAATAAAACTATGGTGCCCAATATAGAGTAAGATTCTATCCTCCTTTTGGGGTATAGTATTTTATATAAGGAATATAAGGTTACTAGGTTCAAACACCAAAAAAATCGCTACCCAATTGACAAGAGAGGTGTCCTCTCCTCAAATCGAAAGAGATCTTCAAACATTGGCCTGAAACTCTTTAGGCAAGTTGCAAAGTGTTCATGATACATGTTGCTATGTGCCTTGTACACCCCTTAAGGCGTGCTAAACGCTTTCTCATCTTGGCGAATGCATGCATCACATAATGTCCACTAAGCTCAATGCATTTCCTGCTACACCACATCATGAATACAAGAACCGTAGCACAATTCGCACACTTCGCCACTACGCATCCACTGGCCAAGCTGTGCCTCGGCAACGTGCATAATGCACGCATTGCACGCATTTGAAATATCCCTTTGCCCGACTTGGCCTGCTTTGGGCCGCCTTGCTTCACCGTAGACTGTGATTCCGCACCTCCGTGGGCGATGGGCACCTGAAGTAGCAAGTCGTGCACCTTGAGGTGCTTGCTTTGGCTTTGGATGAAGCGGAATCGCAGAAGGAGAAGCTGATAAAAGAGGTGGCTATCATCTTGCTCCTTTTCGATTCTCAATGATACTTCATTGGAGACTTGGATGATGTGGTGCGTGCTATGGCAGGAACCCAATGGCCCTGCTGATGCCTCGAACAGTGATTCGAAGAAACCTTGGAAACGTTGGCCTGCAAGTTGCCTGCAAGGCTTCGGTGTCTGAGATGGATGAGCTTTTGGCAGCCAGGGCCTCGGAGGGGTGAAGTGGATTGAAGTGGTGTTGCCGGAACAGCCATGCAGCATGCAATGGCATGCAACATCATGTAACCCAGGTACTAACCCAAATCCATCGCGCGTGCCCTGAGGCCACCCTGCACAGCAGCACAGCACGGGATGCATGGAATTTCATTAAGGAATGCTCGAAGACGGGTGTCAGCACCTGAAGGCTCATGAATTTCTGTCGCCCTTGGGCTTTGCAGCTTCAGCCTCCAAGCGCGAGGCACATGAAGGGCTGGTTTGTTCTATTCGGTGGGGAGGTTAAACTAAGTTGTAACGAGGGTCCCATACTGCAATCTAGAAGCTTGTAGAAAAAGATTGGAGTTCAAGTCTTGTGCGGACCGACGTTTCCCGGCGCAGTGCAACCTAAAAAAGCGACTCTGGCGCTCTTCGCTATCGAGGGACAAGGTTCTGCGAGTTCAGGGTGCCTTCGATGTCCCGCTTCCAACCTCTGAACAGCATGCACTTCGCTCAACCTGCTGCATGCCTGCTCTGCCCTGCCAAATCCTTTGAACGTAATCCCCTTGAGCCTCTTCGTTCTCTGACGCAACGATCTCTCTAGGTGACGGCCTGGGAGGCCGCTGCTGAACGCCTGGGCCATCACGCTGAGGCGATTGCACAGATTCAGGCAACAGCCCCGGCGCTTTGCAGCTCAGCAGCTGTGGTCTTTCGAGGTGTCTTCCGCTTTTGTCCTTAAGAGCAGAGGTTTGAGTCGCCGCGGCTCTTGGCTCCTGAAGCATCCATGCAGCAATTGGACAGCTTGAGCCAAGACTAGCAGTTGAACTGGACATGTAGCGGGACGATCTGCGCTCGGCCCGCATGGCTGGCACAGAGGAAGTTTAAACAGATGCCGGAGCCTCCTCCTGCGCCTCCAGACTTTGTGGCACCTCCCAGGCAAGCAACAGTTGCACTGGGCTCTGTGCCGCCTGTACCTCCAGAGCCGCCCGCACTGCAGGCAGTGCATGTGCCTCCACCTGTGGGCTTCACGGGTGTGC